TCGCACACAATGAGAAAGCAGTCCGTGAGAGTGCCATCCGATGACGCGTATCTCTATACGCGCGTATTCGCGTATCAAAGATATTCGACCAATCGCTGACGTTCCACCGTTTTACGTACGTGTGTCAATTTTGTTTTACTGTCCCATGCAGCGGATCGCGCGTAAGCGATTAGCGGATCGCCAATTACAGAATTGTTTTGCTAGCTCTGTTTGCAAAATAATATTTTATATTGTCCGTGATTGATGATCCGCTAATTCGCTTACGCGCGATCCGCTGCATGGAATAGTAAAACAAAATTGATGCGTACGTAAAACGGCGGAAAGAAACAAATCTAAAATCAATTTGGTAAACTAAAATTTCATATGGAAATTATTATCAATTGTTTATTATTTATGGATTTGTCAATTGATTATTGTTATTGTGATAAAATGTTATTTTTTGTAGCAAACAAAATGAATTTAGATAAAACTTATTAGCAATTTTCGTCTTAGTACAAAAATTTAAACAAAATTATCTTTTTGAACAAGAAACACTGCATCGAAAAATTTTGCTTTTGTATGCACTATATAAAGTTGTAAGAAGCGAAAGAAAAGGCAAACAACGTCAATTTTGGATACGACCTTTACTGTGCATCGACGTTTCTTGCAAGGAGCTAGTGAAAATCTCGTCAAAGAGATGGAGCTTAAAAATAAAACAAAATTTCGTAATTATTTCAGAATGGATTCGATTACATTGAAAAAACTCGAATTAATTGATCCATTAATTACTAGACAATCTGTCGTTCACGAATCAATTTCTCCTGAAATCTTCTGCTTATAAACCGCTGCGTAAAGGCATAATAAAACGGCGGAATGTCAGCGATCGAAGTTTTGATATGCGAATACGCGCATATAGAGATACGCGTCATCGGATGGCACCCCGGCAAAAAATGTTGTATCGTGTTCCAAGATTTGAAGAAGTCTTGCTGCTTTATTAGCTTCGCATGCCGCGTGTGTTAAGATACCTCAAGCTTGTGAGGAATTCTTGAAAAGAATTACAAGCAATATAACTTGTAGTCCCAAGCGATGGTCTATTTTCACCGAATTAAGTGAATGTTTTGAAGAAAGAACTTACAAAATTGTAAAATTATATAATACGATGGCTTTCTTACCACACGTGTATCGATAGACTTCTTCACGTGTATCGATAGACTTCTTCTTGGAACACGGTACATTTTTTGAATGAAATAATCGTGAGCGAAAAAGGTACATCTGCAGAAAATTTGTTGCGTGTTATGCAAAATGTAGATACAAAAGCATATTTGCTATTTTTAAAATATACATTACATTTTTTAAATGTATTTAATTCATTTTTCCAAGCTGAGGAAACGAGGATACTGTTACAGCCAAAATCAATTGATTTTTAAAAGAAATTTTATAAAACCAGAAATTCTAAAACATTTGCCAAATATAACATTTTATGAGGCAGAAAACCATAAATCTTTAAATGATACTTTTTAAGATCGGAGTGCGAAGAATATCTTCATCAATTGATGAACACGCAAACATGGTTGCAACTATTCGAAAAAATTGTTTGCGATTTTATATAACGGCAGCCGAAGAAATTTCCAAAAGATTACCAGTAAGTGATATATTTTTATCAAAATTACAAATTTTTTTACCACATATAGCTTTATTGAGTACTAATAGGGAAACATCAGTCCATGATTTTTCTTTTATCGTTGCAAGAATGAGTGGTTTTGACGAAAACGGTTTAAAGAAAGAATGGTTTGCCTTAAATTCAGATTTTTCAGTAACGGAGAAACAAAATTGTTAAAATTAAATTTTGATAATATGTGAAAGGAGATTTTATAAAGACAATAAAATAATTTAAATAATGAAACCAAATATCCCAATTTAAGATCCTTCTTGAATTCTATTAGAGCACTCTCAAATTCAAATGCAGTTCCGGAAAGAATATTTTCCCTCTTAACAGATTGTTACAACAAAAAACGAAACAGTCGTCTATCTGTATCGTCGACTACTGTAAATTTGTATATTGAAGTCAGCATTAAAAGCAAGAAACGAAACTGCTTTAAACATGAAGCTCGATGAAAAGCATTTATCTCTTATGTCGACAGATAAATTATGTTACTTCTTCGATAAAGCAAAAGAAAAGTTTTCAGCTACATGCTGCAGATAATATTACTGGTCCATCTTCGTCTAATATGCAACAATAATATATAAAAAGAATAATTGTTTATATTTCAAATGCATTAAAGCATTAAGTTAAATTTAAGTAAATAATATACAATATCTATAAAGAATATCGCACCTGCACAAGACTTTATCTTGTTTCAATATGAACATATTGCACTTGTTACAAAGATAAATGTGTAAAAAATATAATAAAAATAAAATTAAAAAATATAAATAATACAAAAAAATATATTTTTTTAATTTTTCTATTTTCTATTATATCTATTTTTTATTATTTTCTAATTACAGATATAACTCTTTCTAATAACAGATATAATTTCCATTTTTTTTTAATATAACGAACATTGTATATCAATGTTACTGATATAATGCTTACAGTTGTAAGCGCTACGTAGCGAACGTAGCCTATATCATAAAGCGCGATCGTTTCGATGATCAGAAGTCAGAATCACCGAATGAGCAGGCTAGTTGTGAGCATA